TTTTTGGGGGATTTGGGGGGATTTTAGGGAATTTTTGGTATAGATTTTTGAGAGATTTTGGGGGAATTTTTGAGGGATTTTTGGGGGATTTTTGGGAGGATTTTGAGGGAATTTTTTGGGGAATTTTTGATGTGGATTTTTGGGGGAATTTTTGAGGAATTTTCGAGGGATTTGGGAGGATTTTTGATGGATTTTCAAGGGATTTTGGGTGATTTTGAGCGATTTTTTGGGGAGTTTTTGGTGTGGATTTTTGGGAATTTTTGTTGTGGATTTTTGGGAATTTTTGGGGGAATTTTTGGGAATTTTTGGTGTGGATTTTTGGGGAATTTTTGGTGTGGATTTTTGGGGGGATTTTTGAGGAATTTTCGAGGGATTTGGGGAGATTTTTGATGGATTTTTGAGGGATTTTAGGGGCATTTTGGGCGATTTTTTGGGGAATTTTTGAGCGATTTTTTTGTTAATTTTTGGGTGGATTTTTGGGAATTTTTGGGTGAATTTCGTGGGAATTTTGGGAATCCCATTCCCGACTTTTTCCCCAGGTGAATTCCCTGGACGACAACGGGGTCCTGGTGGGGAACTGGACGGGGGATTATTCCCGCGGCACCAACCCCTCGGCCTGGGCCGGATCCGTGGAAATCCTGCGCGGCTTCCGCGCCTCCGGAGCCCCCGTCAGATACGGGCAGTGCTGGGTGTTCGCCGGGGTCATGACCACTGGTTTGTACTGGTTTATACTGGTTTATACTGGTTTATACTGGTTTGGGGTCTTGGGGTTACTGGGAGTTACTGGGAGGGACTGGGAGGGACTGGGAGGGGACTGGGAGGGACTGGGAGTTACTGGGAGGGTCTGGAGTAGGGATAGACCCACCCTGAAGTGTGGTTTTCTTGCTACTGGTTTATACTGGTTTATACTGGTTTGGGGTCTGGGAGTCACTGGGAGGGACTGGGAGTTACTGGGAGGGACTGGGAGGGACTGGGAGGCTCCAGAGTGGGGTAAACCCATCCTGGAGTGTGGATTTTTTGATACTGGTTTATACTGGGTTATACTGGGAGTTACTGGGTTATACTGGTTTGGATTGGTTGGGACTGGTTTGGACTGGTTTGGACTGGTTTGGGGTCACCTCGGAGCCTCCGGAGCCCCCGTCAGATACGGGCAGTGCTGGGTGTTCGCGGGGGTCATGACCACTGGTTTGTACTGGTTTATACTGGTTTATACTGGTTTGGGGTCTGGGGGTTACTGGGAGGGACTGGGAGTTACTGGGAGTTACTGGGAGGGACTGGGAGTTACTGGGAGGGACTGGGAGGGACTGGGAGGGACTGGGGGAGACTGGGAGGGACTGGGAGTTACTGGGAGGGACTGGGAGGGACTGGGAGGGACTGGGAGGCTCCAGAGTGGGGTAAACCCATCCTAGAGTGTGGATTTTTTGATACTGGTTTATACTGGTTTATACTGGGTTATACTGGTTTGGATTGGCTCTTATTGGTTTATACTGGTCTATACTGGTCTATACTGGTTTATACTGGTGGAGCCTTAGGCAGGCACTGGGTTGAACTGGGAAGGGTCTGGGGCAACACTCTACCGGTCCATACTGGTCCATACTGGTCCCTACCGGTCCGTACTGGTTCTTACTGGTTTATACCGGTTTGTACTGGTCTATACTGGTCCATACTGGTCCATACTGGTTTATACTGGTCCATTCTGGTCCATACTGATCTGTACTGGTTCATACTGGTCCATACTGGTTCATACTGGTCTATACTGGTCCATACTCATCTATACTGGTCCATACTGGTCTATACTGGTCTATACTGGTCCATACCGGTCCATACTGGTCCTTACTAGTCCATACTGGTTTATACTGGTCCATACTGGTTCATACTAGTCCATACTGGTCCATACTGGTCTATACTCCTCTATACTTGTTCCTGCTAATTTATACTGGTCTATACTGGTTCTTACTGGTCTATACTGGTCCATACTGGTGGAGCCTTAGGCAGGCACCGGGTTGAACTGGGAGGGGTCTGGGGCAACACTCTACCAGTCCCTACTGGTCCATACTGGTCCCTACCGGTCCATACTGGTTTATACCGGTTTATACTGGTTTATACTGGTCCTTACTGGTTTGTACTGGTCTGTACTGGTCAGTGCTGCGCTGCCTGGGCCTCCCCACCCGCACGGTGACCAACTACAACTCCGCCCACGACACCGACGTGTCCCTGACCACCGACATCTACTTCGACGAGAACATGAAGCCCCTGGAGCGCCTCAACACCGACTCCGTCTGGTTCGTACTGGTTTATACTGGTTTGTACTGGTTTGTACTGGTTTGGTGCCGGGAGGGGGCGGGGAGGGGGTAAATCGGGGCTGGGAGGGACTGGGAGGGACTGGGAGGGACTGGGAGGGTTCGGAGCGGGGAGAAATCCGTCCCAGAGGGGGGGGTTGGTTACTGGTTTGTACTGGTTTCATACTGGTTTATACTGGTTTGGGACTGGGAGGGGGCGGGGAGGGATAAATCGGGACTGGGAGTTACTGGGAGGGACTGGGAGGGACTGGGAGGCTCCAGAGCAGGGGAGAAACCCATCCTTTTCTTGCTACTGGTTTATACTGGTTTATACTGGTTTGGGACTGGGAGGGGGTAGAGGGGGATAAATCGGGACTGGGAGTTACTGGGAGGGACTGGGAGTCACTGGGAGGCTCCAGAGCGGGGGAGAAACCCATCCTTTTCTTGCTACTGGTTTATACTGGTTTATACTGGTTTGGGACTGGTTTGGGACTGGGAAGGGGCAGAGGGGGATAAATCAGGACTGGGAGTTACTGGGAGGGACTGGGAGGGACTGGGAGGGACTGGGAGTCACTGGGAGGCTCCAGAGTGGGGGAGAAACCCGTCCTTTTCTTGCTACTGGTTTATACTGGTTTATACTGGTTTGGGACTGGTTTGGGACTGGGAGGGGGCAGAGGGGGACAAATCAGGACTGGGAATTACTGGGAGTTACTGGGAGTTACTGGGAATCACTGGGAGGCTCCAGAGCGGGGGAGAAACCCATCCTTTTCTTGCTACTGGTTTATACTGGTCTATACTGGTTTATACTGGTTTATACTGGTTTCCGGCAGGAACTTCCACGTGTGGAACGACTGCTGGATGAAGCGGCCGGATCTGCCCGACGGCTACGACGGGTGGCAGGTGGTGGACGCCACCCCCCAGGAGACCAGCAGCGGTACTGGTTTATACTGGTTTATACTGGTTTAGACTGGTTTGGACTGGTTTAGACTGGTTTATACTGGTTTAGACTGGTCTAGACTGGTTTATAGTGGGAGGAGGCCGTGGGGACCCACTGTATGACCTCGGGGGTTTGTGATGACCCCGTACTGGTCCATACTGGTCCTTACTGGTTTATACTGGTCCTTACTGGT